CCAGAAACTTCAAAGGTAATTAGCTTATTAATTCTCCTATGCAGTTTACTCAAAGGAATACACACTGATATTTCAGGTGTCTACCTAACTGAACCAAATCTTGGCATTTTTAGCACCCTGCCAACATCCATAGGCAGCTTCACCCCACCCAGGCTCTTAGCCTACAAAAGAGTGAGTGTGTGGAGAAATGGTGGAGGATAAGAAGACAACAAGGAGGCAATGAAGCAGGAAGTGATGTTTGGAAATGTAGAATTACTGCAGGAGGTAAGGGAAAGGGCAAACAATCAACTGCCAGGATTACAAGTGTTTGTAAGCAATCCACTGTGGTCCAGTTGTCTTTTGAAAAGCCCCTTTGGGATAACCATGAGCTGAATGATTGAGAATCTCCACAGACATTTAACCCATCATGGGGTAATTTCTACTTGGCACTTGGCTTAAGACTTTGGGCTGGAGTTTGATAGCAGCCAGAAAAAGACAAACCACATTGAGGTAGGCCCTAATCCCAAGACACAAGAATTTTAGAGAAAGGCAAAAGTTGTATGCTACTATACAAATTTTAAGACTTACTTGCTATAAGGAATAACTATCATTATTTACATGGCTACATCAGCTCTCAAAATCTAGAAGGATGGAGTTAACCCAGGGCAAGTATTATTAGGAAAAGCATGTACCACAATAAAGCAGTTTGACAGTTATCTTCTATGCTGTGACGTGTCCAGTCTTTGAAAAACAAAGAATCCTCACAAGTATAAAAAGGGTTTTAAAAACTTGAGTAAGAGCTTTGATTCCACACAATTTGCAATCTGGCCTTGGAAAAGGTGAATTATTGTACCCAAAGATCAAATGAATATCTTATTTAAATTATAGTAATTTTTAATGAAATGTATATTTGGATGATTGATAATGAAAATAATGATTTAAAATTAAATGTGCATTATATTCCCACTAATTTCATCAATTTGGATGAATTTAAAGAAAATGCATCACTTACAAGAATCCAGAATTCAAAATGTTATATACCATGGAAATGAATTCCATCTTCTGCTTCAATTCCCAACATATTTATTTGATGTGACCCTATTATTCTTAATGTCAATTTTAGCAGCTAATCAGCTAAAAGAAGTGGAAATGTAGCTTTTGTTGCTGTTGTTAAGATCAAACACTCTATGATCAAGTGTTTAATTTAAGTGTCTTTCGGCATTTTTTACAAGACAGATGAAGGGCTGATCACCTTGAAATGGCAGCAGTAATGTGTTTTATCAATAGCTTAAATATCACTGCATGTTAATGTATATGGCTTGTCAAGGTGAATCTGGGTGGGTGAAGAGAATTTAAAACAATATAAATAATTATAAACCAAAATAAACAACAAAAAAGGCTGCCAAGAATTAAAAAAACCTCAGAATAACAACAATGCCCCTAATCGGGGCCTGACTAACTTTCTAACCCCCATGCTTGACAAGAAAAGAAAGGATAATTGAAAGGATGCTTGCCAACAACAGCAACAACAATTAGTATTTGTGATGCATTTTTGAATGTTCAGTTGGCTGAGTCTCATGTTTAATGAATAAAGTATATAATGATGATGATGATAGTAATAATAGTAATAGTTTTCTGCCTGAAACTCTTGCTAGATATTTAAACTAGGATTATAGCAAAGAGTATCCAGTTCAAGGAAAATTGTGCTACCATCTACTGCCCAGTTAACGATAGCTCCATTTCCGTCCTCGGCTAAAAGGGTCGCTTCCTTTCCCATCCGCCTTGCAACATCCATACAAAACCCTTTTCATGCCTTATCCAGCCTTAACCAGCGGACAGGAAGAATCCTTTCTGTGCCCAAAGACCCGGGCTTCCGCCCAAACAGACCATAAAGACCTCCCCTCGCAGCTCTAGAGCGGAAAGCGGTTGCCCCGCTCTACCCCTGCGCGGCCCCTCCTCTAAATCCAGGGGCCGCTCTCTATGGTGATTTTACGGACTCGGAGGTACGGGTTTTGCGCCAAACTGGTGCAGCCAGAGCTGCGGCCGGAGCGCGCTCATCCCTAAGGACAGCGGACAGCAGAAGGCACAACATGAACCCCCGGCCGACCCAGCTGCCTCGAGCGACTCCCTGGCGCTCCCTGCCTTGCCCGCGCACCGAACTCCGCCTTGACCTGGTACTCTGTGGCGGGCAGACCTTCCGGTTAGTGCGCCCCCTGGCGGCTCCCAGCCAGGAATTGCAACCTTTTTCGAAAGCATCTCCTTAAATTTTCCCCTCGGCCCTTTTCTTTCTTTCTTTGCATCGCCGTTCGCCCTTGGTTGGCTTCTCCGCCGCAGTCATTTTTTTAACTTGCCCCTCTCTGGGTTTGCTGCCTTGCTTCCCCCTTGGCTACGCCCCAGGGTTGTGCAGCTTTGGGGATGCACGGAGGCCTGGTGATGAAGGAAGCAAGCGCTTTGAATGCATGCATAAAAGCCCCGACAGGCTCGCGGGGGGGGGGGGGGAGAGAAGAGCGAGATATACCAGGCTCTCTTGGTATATATTCTGCCTTGTGCAAGCAATGCTCCTGCGGCCTTTTCCCATCATCCACAACCTCCAATCATCATCATCATCATCATCATTATTATGGTTCATCCTCCATTTGTAAAAGAAAGGAAGATGAGCACCGCCCCCTATAGTTGGCAAGGGCTGGCGAAGTAAAATCCGCAGGGATTCCTTTTGCTTTACCACTTGTTAGGAAGGATGAAAACCCATCTTTTTGCAAAGAAGGGGGTGGCACTCCTTGGGGTTTTTTGGGGAGGGGGGAAGAAGGGGCTGCTACCACTTGCATTTTGCAAACGGTGCTGCCCCTTTTCTCCCTCCCCTCCCAAAGCCACTATACTATTAAATAATAAAAAGCCTTTCTAATTCTTCGAAGCATCAGTAGAATCTACTGTCTTTTTGAGCTCTTTTGTTTTATGCGTGTAATCTTGGCTTCATGGAGCTGAAGCCTTGAGCTACAAATCCGTCGCTCTGGGCACAGCCATTGGCTCCCTGAATTCTCTTCATGCTGCTATCGTATTGTCAGAGAACCTGAGCGAACACTGAAATAGAAGACAAGATATGTAGCTCAGGGTTGAACTGGGGAGTTCTTGTTACTCTCACAGCTTGGTTGCTCACTTGCAGATGCTTCATTGTCCAATTAGCCCCAAGGACTTCATAGATCACTTTACACACCTATGAAAAATCTGCATCAGGGGAAATCTGCAACCAAACAGGACAGGTACAGACTTCAACGCAGTCCAATAGTTAGGACTACAGAACAAAACAATTGTAACCAGCCTGCCTTCCATTGAGGACCTGTGTACTGCACGAGCCAGAAAGAGACACTGTCTACAGACCTTTCACATCCTGGACATAAACCATTTCAATTTCTCCCCTCAAATGCTGCTATAAGGCATGGCATGCCAAAACAATTAGGCACAAAAATAGTTTTTCCCCCATGCCATCACTCTGCTAAAAGCTGTAGCAATAGCACTTAGACTTATATACCGCTTCATAGTGCTTTACAGCCCTCTTTAAGCAGTTTACAGAGTCAGCCTATGGCCCCCAACAATTTGGGTCCTCATTTTACCCACCTCGAAAGGATGGAAGGCTGAGTCAACCTTGAGCCTGGTGGGATTCAAACTGCCAAATTGCAAGCTAGCAGTCAGCTGAAGTAGCCTGCAATAAAACACCTACCTCCCCCAGCACTGTTACGCCTAAAGGTATTACCAATGGAATAGGGCTGTATTACTATTATCCTTCTCGTCTTCTTAAAAGACAACTGGACTTTGTTTTTCCTTAAAGATGTTTCACTTCTCATCCAAGAAACTTCTTCAGTTCTGACCGAACGATTTAAATCCTTCCATCCTCCACCATTCAGTCAGAATCGAAGAAGCTTCTTAGAGGAGAAGCAAAACATCTTCAGGAAAAAACAAAGTCCAGTTGCCTTTGAAAAAAAACAAACACCTTTGAGACTGTTTCTCTAAATGACAAATTGCATTACATTGACTTTCATCCCCAATCTGAAGTTCTTTAGGGGCTGTAACAAAAATTAGTCTGAGCATCAGTTTTGTTTTATTTGTATATTTTGTGGTTATAATCAGAATAGAACTGGATGGGATCTTGGAAGTCTTCTAGTCCTGCCCCCTGTTCAAGCAGGAGACCCTGGACTATATCATTTCAGATAGGTGACTGTGCAGTCTTTTCTTAAAAATCTCCAGTGATGAAGCCCCTATAACTTCTGAAGGCAAGCTGTTCCACCGGTTAATTGTCCTCACTGTTAGGAAGTTTCTCCTTAATTCCAGGTTGCTTCTCTCCTAGATTAGTTTCCATCCATTGTTTCTTGAATCTGGTGCTCAGAAAAATAAGTTGACCCCCCTTCTCTTCTTTATGGCAACCTCTCAAATACTGGAATACTGCTATCATGTCAACCCTAATTCTTCTTTTCTCTAGACTGGCCATACCCAATTCCTGCAACCGTCCTTCATGTTTTTGTCTCCATGCCTTTAATCATCTTAATTGCTCTTCTTTGCACTTTTTCCAAAGTCTCAACATCTTTTTTGTAATGTGGTGGTGACCAAATCTAGATGCAGTATTCCAGGTGTGGCCATACCTAAGGCTTTAAAGAAATAAATAACATTAAAATTTCCTGGACCCTCAGAGCCCCAGTTGTAGGATATATGAGGAAGAAGCTTCTCCTTGGTCAGTTGCGAGCAACGGAGTGCCTTTCTTCCAGAAATAAATGTGTTTCTCCTTCTGTTTTCAATAAGGGAATTAATCCTGTACCTTGTAACCATGCATTTTTTGAATTGCACCACTAATAAAGGTAATTGCATGTTAAGCCGATAATAACTTACCTTGTTTACCTTTGAGTGCTCCATAGATAAAAGGCAGGAAATAATAATAACTTTTATAACTTTGGGGACGTGAATAGCTTAACGGTAGAAGCCGGCTGCTATCACTGGTTATTTGCTCAAACAGTTTAGAGAGTTAATCAGAGTTGATTGGAGAGCAGCTGTCAGAGAAGCTATCAAGTTAGTTGGAAAACAAACTCACTACTGTAGATATAAGAAGCTTCCGTTTTTTTTCTTTTCTCATTTTGCATGCTAGCAAAATGTAAGTAGTACCATCATGCAATCTAATATAATTATTAATACTTAAAGTGAAGATGCTTTCCAAGAACTGGACATACCACACGGTACCAAATCTATACATAGTGTTTTAGCACACCCAGTCTCCATGGACACCAACTAGCAGCCAGAATATATTGTTGAAAGAAATATCTTTCTGGGTTCGACTCCAAGTTGGGAAAAAGACACTGGAGACATGGAGGCTGCTTGGAAAGATGGTTTTAATGGTGGACAGGACCACATGGCTTGAGTCCTGAACAGAAAAGGTGATCACATGCTTCAATGTTAATGGAGAAGAAGAGGAAGGGAGGCTGAGATGCTGAGTCCCTGGTTTTATGCCCTCTCTGGCCTTTAATCTTGAGCTTGTATTCTGATTGGTTGTCGGACTCCCATGGGGCCATGCAGGGGCAACGCTCTAGGCTGCGTTTTGAATCCAGGTTTGGTTGAGTTCTCAGATGCTATGTGGGGAGTTGGGTAAAGGGGCAATATTATCATGCCTTAATCCCATCTCCTGGAACTGAAGTGGAGAACTCTTTATTATGTAAAGGGACTGGCTTGGCCTTCTTAATGGCCCATTGACAAAGCGTGTGGGGGCAGGAAGCTGCAGGGAGCTATTTTCTCTTTATAAAACATGTTTCTTCCTTTTCACATCCAGGGAAATATAATATTCTGCCTTTTCCATATTTCCTAGGATATTTCATTTTTCTGGGAGAGGGGTGGGTGATAACTTCCCACAATGTGAGGAACACTCCTGAATCTTACAACACATGGACAGATTTGATCATAGTTTCAACTGGGAAACTCTGACCCTCCTGGAAAAAGTCCAAGAACACTGGAAAATACCTGGAAGCCTGGCACCCTGACAAATCAGGCCTCAATAGACATAAACAATATCAACATACAGGCAGTCCTGGACTTGCAAACACAATTGAGACCAACATTTCTGTTGCTAAGTGAGACAGTTGTTAAGTGAATTTTGCCCCATTGTACGACCTTTCCTGCCACAGTTGCTAAGCGAATCTCTGTAATTGTTCAGTTAGTCGCATGGTTTTTAAGTGAATCTGGCTTCCCCATGGACTTTGCTTGTCAGAAAATCGCAAAAGGGGGGATCCCATGACGCTAGGACACGGCAACCGTCATAAATATGAGTCAGTTGCCAAGCATCCGAATTTTGATTGCGTGATCACGGGGGATGCTACAATGGTCATGTGTGAAAGTGGCCATAATTCACTTTTGCATGCGGTTGCACGTGGGGGATTACCTAAATTGACTGGAGGATCTGGGTATCCTTTTCTTTTTAGATGAGCTTTGTGTTGTAGTCCGCCGGTGGCCAGCAGAGCTGGCCGCAGATTCAGACAGTGAGGAGGTTGGGGAGGAACATGGGCCAGTCCTGGAGTCTGAGGAAAGGCTCTGACAAGGGCTCTGTGTCGGAGGCAGAGAAGGGACCAGGGCCATCTGGGAGTTATGTGCTGACATCAGCGAGACAAGAAGAACAGGGGGAGCCTGTTCCCAGTGTGCACATGCACAGAGCTGCCAGAAGGCAAAAACAATTAAGAAAAAGGGTTCACCGTCAAATGCGCCATCGTCAAATCCGTGCCGACAAAACCGTGCCGACAAAACCACGCCCACCATCAACAAACAACATAATGGGACGCGAAAACAACGTTGTAACCCTAACCCTAACCCTTTATAACATTGTTTTCGTGTCCCATTATGTTGTTTGTTGATTGCGGGCACGGTTTTGTCGGCGCAGATTTGACGATCGCGCATTTGACGGGTCACGAGAAAAAAAAGGAGGGGCGACTTGAGAGTAAGGCTTGGAGATGATTGGCCCCTCCCCTAAGTCATAAAAGAGGAGTAAACGGATGTGAGCCTTTGCAGGGAGCAATGAGTTCATTCTGGTTGGTTCGAACTCTGAGAAGCTCCGTTTGACTCTGTGCTACGTTTGGCCTTGCAAAAGGTCTCTGGCAGCGTTTCAAGGGAGTTAAAGGTGGGTGCTTATTAACATTCCCCTGAACGACTGTGGCAACTCGAGCAGACATCTGTCGGACTCTTCACAGACTGTTTGTGAATCCTTACGGGCTGTGAATGACCATAATTCACAGCCGTTTAAATAAAAGAGGGTTTTGGGGACTAAATGTATGATTTATACTTTCTCATGAAGCCTAGATCAGAACGCCTTGGCTGTTTCTGCTGCTAACCAAGCCTGTGATTTTCTCAGGTGGTCTGAAACCAGCCCCGGCTACTGGACTGGCGTGCTGGCCGGACGAGTCTGGACTCTCACGCAGTCTGAGGAACATCTCTGGTACACCTTGCATGAAGAGGAAAAGGAGGACGGTGGCAGAGAAGAAGAAGGCCTCTCCGAACCTCCCCTGAAGAAGAGCAGGAAGCAAACACAGCCGGAACCGAATCGTCCTGGGACAAGCGAACGTCCGGGCAGCCATTTGCCTGGAGAGTTGGCCCGGGGAACAGATGGGATGACTCCTTCTCAGATCCTCCAGGACTATTTCCAACTACATGTAAATGTATCTGGGTTATACCAGGGTTGGTCTTATGTTGACTCGCATTTCCGGGAAATAGGTGTTAAATTCCCAGGTAGGCAAACTAGCACTGGAGAATAATGCACTGCTACAATAAAAATATATGAGTATTGTTTACATCAGGGGTAGACAACCTTTTTGTACCTACCTCCCACTTTTGTATCTCTGTTAGTAGTAAAATTTTCTAACCGCCCACCGGTTCCACAGTAATGGTGATTTATAAAGTAGGGAAGTAACTTTACTCTATAAAACTTATAAGGCAGAGCTACAGCAAACCCCTACCGCCCACCATGAAAGCTGGAATGCCCACTAGTGGGCGGTAGGGACCAGGTTGACTACCACTGGTTTACATGATGAAAAAATAGTATCTGGGTACTTGAGAGACCGCCTGCTGCCAATTACCTCCCAAAGACCCATTAGATCACACAGGGTTGGCCTCCTCCGGGTTCCGTCTACCAGCCAATGCCACCTGGTTACTACCAGGGGGAGGGCCTTCTCTGTGGCAGCTCCGGCCCTCTGGAACGAACTCCCCGCAGGGATTCGGACCCTCACCTCTCTCCAGGCCTTCCGAAAAGCCGTCAAAACCTGGCTTTACCGGCAGGCCTGGGGTTGATGAGTTCCCCTCCCCTCTCGACTTGTGTGGTTGTGTGATTCTTGGCTATTTTAATTACTTGTATTCTGTTCTATGTTCCCCTTTTCCCCTTTTGAGTTGTTCGCCGCCCTGAGTCCCTCCTGGAGAAGGGCGGCATATAAATAATAAGATTCAATTCAATTCAGTAACAATATCCTAATTTGTATGTGAGCGCTTGTTTTCAGGAATTAGAACTAAGTGATGTTTTATTTAGTGGAGAGTAATTGACCAGCAATAATCAGTAACTGACCCATGTAAGGGACGAGGTGGTTCAGTGGTTAAGACGCTGAGTTTGTCGGTGAAAAAGGTTGGCAGTTCAGCGGTTCGAATCCCTATCACCGCCTAATGGAGTGAGCTCCTGTTACTTGTCCCAGCTTCTGCCAGCTTAGCAGTCCGAAAGCAAGTAGAAAAATAGGAGACCACCCCCCCCCCTTTGGTGGGAAGGTAACAGTGTTCCATGCGTCTTCGGCATTTAGTCATGCCAGCCACATGACCACAGAGACGTCTTCGGACAGTGCTGGCTCTTAGGCTTAGAAACAGAGATGAGCACCACCCCCTAGAGTCAGGAATGAGTAGCACATATGTGCGAAGAGAAACTTTACCTTTACCTTTTTTAACTGACCAGCAGCAAAGCTGTGTCTTATATCGAGAACGCAGAATTTGAATTCTTAAATGTCTTTATTTATATGCATTTTAGGGAACAAACATTGTCCTTGTCTGGCAGGGGGAGATTTGAAAATGGACAGGCAGGTGATCCCAAAGTGAGGCTTTCTTGAGGGTCCTTGAACTTGGTTGTTTTCTTACAAACATTTTATTACCTGCACTGCAGATAAAAAAATGCAGCCCTGATGATGTTACCTAGTTGGATAATGAAACGTCTGCAAGAAATACAACCACGCTTAAAGAGCGAGCACCAAGGACCCCTCATTTTAACCCTGAGCTACAAATATTCTCCTTTATTGGTGAGGCTTTCTTGCTCAGGGTTCTCTCTCAGCTTACTGCTAGTACCATGAAAATCCAGAAATCGGAAACCACAGTATAACTCAGCGGCAAGGAAAACTGAATTTCTTAGCTTAAACATAAAGTATGTGACTAGTGATAGGAAACATAGAAACATACAAAATGGATGGCAGAAAAAGACCTAGTGGCTCTTTCTTTCCCCAGGTGTCCGGGTGCTGCGGCAGGACCCAGTGGAGTGCCTCTTCTCCTTCATCTGCACCTCCAACAACCACCTGTCCCGCATCACCAACATGATTCAACACCTGTGCCAGGCCTTTGGGCGCCGCCTCTGCCAGCTGGATACCAAGACCTATCATGCCTTCCCCACCCTGCAAGCAATGGCAGGTAAAAACCTTAGGCCTCATAGTTGCTTTGCGGCCTTTCCCTCCACAAACCATCCCACCTACGTCTTCTGACTCCTTCTCCGCTTTCTGTTCTATCCCCAAAAGGATACACCAATGACAGTGTTGGAAGGGACCTTGCAGGTCATCTAGTCCACCCCCCTACTCTCGCAGGAGACCTATACAATGTCCTTCTCTTCTATATATACAAAAATGGCTGTGTGTGTGTGCGTGTGTGTTCCAGCATAACTCTGGAATGCCTCGAGCAATTTCAACCAAACTTGGTACACAGAAGACTTACTTTCTGGAAACAAATACTGTGGGGGTGAGATACCCCCAACACCCCTCGGTGTGTGTGTTGTGTTCTGTTAAGATACAGCCTGTTGTGCCTTAAAAATGGCTTCTACTGTACTGCCGTAAAATGGATTCCTACTGTACAGTGCAGTGGAGTTGCCATGGTAATGGCTTCCCAGTACTCCACAAGGGGGCTCCCTCTGGTAAAGGGGAAAATTCAACATCAGAAATTATGTTTGGTCCGGATATTTCCCCCCTATAAATAAATACCTGGGCAACGCCAGGTTACCGGCTAGTATTTGATAAATGGCTGCCCATCTCTTCTTAAACGCCTCCAGACTACATCAAAAGAAGTGCTCTTCTTTTTCCCCCATATCAAAAGACCTTTGTGCTACATTCACATTCCTGCTTCAAGGAAATCTGCCTTTTATCCAACCATTCCCCTGGTTGTGTGTATTCCCCGCTCCCCTTCTCCTCCTCCTCCTCCTCCTCATCTTCAAAAATCATTCCCACATACTATTATGGGTGCTGGCTTGCCTGTAGCAGCACAGGCAAGGAGTTGAGTCTCAACCAGGCACCAGAGGAGGAGTTTACTGAGGCAGGCCTGATCAGGTAATCCAGTAGACCAGGGGTGTCTGACCTTGGCAACTTTAAGGCTTGTGGACTTCAACTCCCAGAATTCCTCATGCTGGCTGGGGAATTCTGGGAGTTGAAGTTCACAAGTCTTAAAACTTGCCAAAGGTGGACACTCCGGCATCTGAAGCATCTGCCCTCTCCCTCATCCTTCTCCATCAACCCTACACCTGTTTCTTTCCTCCAAGCAACCTTTATGCTTAACATGCACTGGGCCTGCAAAAACTGGCACTTTCCTCACACAGAAACCGATCCTTTCCCTTCACCAAACATAGAGAAGTTCTTAGTGGATGTCAAACATCTTTTGGAGTGTTTGCAGAATGCCAGAGGGGAGAGTGTGGGAACTCTCCTTTTAACCTTCCTGTTTCAGATGGCCCTGGTTGCAATTTCCTCTTTTCCCACTCTTCTGTTTTTACTCTAAGGAAGGACCCTTGGTCTGATTTCTGATATCTGTTTCTACTTTAAGAGTCACAGTGCTGACTGACTCAATGTGCAACTTTCCTACACTTCTGCTCTAAATCACAAAGGAGCTATTTCTGAAATAATAAAGAGATAGGTACCGTATTTTTCTGAGTATAAGATGTACCCTCCCCCCCCCAAAGAGAGTGAAAATCTGGGTGCGGCTTATACATTAAATACAGTGTTTTTGGCCTCCCGAAACCCCACCCCCTTTGCAGAAATGGCCGTGCAGAGGGTTTTTAAAAAATCTTTTTATTAAAGCCCTGTACACAAGCACAAATATATATACAGCAATTTCAAAGATGACGATGTTACTGAAATGAAAAGCCGGTGTCTTTTAAAAAAAAAAATTAAATCCCCTAAATCAGTTTTAAAAAAACTTTTTAGAAAGGATGTAAAGAGAATGGTTGATTCATCCCTGATTATTCCCATCGGATCGCCACAACAATTTGAGGGGAAGCATTTTTTTAAAAAAAACGCTCCTTTCAAAAGCCGCAGGCAGTAAATGTATTTTAAGAACTATCTTAAAGTGCTCCTGGGGGCTGGGTGGGGGGACAAAAACAAGCAAAAACGGACCATTTTTCAATCATTCCCCCCCCCCCAGGAGCACTCTACAAGCCTTCTAAACACCATGCATGGCCTTTTTTGGGCAAAAAATGGGCCATTTTTTGCTCCCTTTTGTCCCCCCCCCCACCCCCCAGGAGCCCTTTAAG